GAGAGTGTGTGTTAGGCGTGCACACCTGTGTGAAAGTGTGTGTTAGGCGTGCACACCTGTGTGAAAGTGTGTGTTAGGCGTGCACACCTGTGTGAGAGTGTGTGTTAGGCGTGCACACCTGTGTGAGAGTGTGTGTTAGGCGTGCACACCTGTGTGAGAGTGTGTGTTAGGCGTGCACACCTGTGTGAAAGTGTGTGTTAGGCGTGCACACCTGTGTGAGAGTGTGTGTTAGGCGTGCACACCTGTGTGAGAGTGTGTGTTAGGCGTGCACACCTGTGTGAAAGTGTGTGTTAGGCGTGCACACCTGTGTGAGAGTGTGTGTTAGGCGTGCACACCTGTGTGAAAGTGTGTGTTAGGCGTGCAAACACAGACTTGAGCGAGAACTTGTTTATATAACCAACAATCAAGCGAATCTCTGCTTGCCTCTATCAACATGATTGCTTGTATGCGGAGTTTTAATAATCTTATGCTGCGATGACATTTAATGTGTAAAATTGTGGATATTAACATAGATTCATCCATAAGACGTCTTGCTCGCCTGAGCATAAACTAGAAGCCGCGATTCAATCAGAAGTGCACAGTTATAAGAGCTTTACTTAAGGCAGTGTTTGGATATCAATTACATAGTATTATTTAAGTAGTGAGAGAGAACCGGTGTGGCAGCTCTTGAGCAGCCAGCCGCCCCACCTCGCACGCTCCACGAGTCCTCCCCGAGTTTACCTTAAAACATTTTGGCATTTATCAAGCCCCAGACATGGGCGCTCCCTTCCCTACTTCCCCATTCCTATTCCAGTTAACCGTACCGGGGACGGCTTGACTGGCAGATTGTGGTATATTTAGGTGGCTCGAAAATGGAAAAATGTATTCCCTGGGACGGCAACACTGACAGATCTCCGTCAATACGGGCATCGTGTTCGAGTGGGAGGAGTGTTTCAGCGCTCGTATACAATATGTATTAGGGCTTATGAGACCGGGAGGGGGGAGGGAGAGGGGAGAAGGAAGGGAGGCTGTATTTTATTATGTTAGCTTTCCTCTGTGGGTTCCAGTCAGAGTACAAGCTCGGCCTTCTTTCATATCTGCTACCAAACAAGTTTCATTTTCGTTTTTCTGTATTACTTCCTGTAATAGATATAATTTCGAGTCTGTAATACTTCTCGAAATGTTTATATAGTTTTGGTGGTGGGTTTTTTTTCATCACAAATTATTCTGGTTACGAGTGTTTATTAATGTACATTTATTGTTTGTGATTTTGAAGTGTGACCCTCGTGTTGTTTAGCTATGGACATTGGGCCGTGTATTGCAACTCGTAGGCTATTCAGCGTGTTTTTATTTTATTATTTTTTTAAACGTCTCCATTATTTGACTAATGAAAGGAGGCTCCATTTGGTCTTGACTCCGCACCCTTTCTTTTCACCGTAAGATGAACTTTTCACCCTGCTGCTCATAACGCCTTGTAGCTTTCTTTGGGCAGTCAATAAGGTCAGTGGAGAGAGCATTAACCATTTTAAATATATTAAAATATAACCAATATTATGAAAATAATAAAAAACCACTTTGTTTTCCTTCGATTGTTTCTATTAGTTTTGTACTGAGATTGAGAAGAGGTCATGTGTGGCAACATGCTTCGTTATCTATATCAGACATCGAGGTATATAAGAGTTGTAGTTACATAGACAAAGCTTCTCTCTTAGCTTGCATCCTTTGTTACCTGGCAAGAATGAGGACAGAGAAAGGTTCCACTAAATGCCTTTTAGTTTTATTTTCACATATCACAAGTTTTACACGTTAAAATTCAAGCACAAGTGCAAAATTACTTTCCTGTACACATTAAATATACAAATATGAATATTTACAAGCTAAGATGCACCGTCTCCAACGCACCAAAATGAATCACAGATACAATTTGTTTCCAAACAAACTCGGCTCCTTTATGTACATTTGTACATTTTGTACATATGTACATCAAAGCTAAAGTTAGCATCACAAAAATAGGTCTGAGTCTAAAAGAAGCCTAATCAACATAAGCTGCCTTGCAACCAGTACATTTTGTTGCAGTCGTAACATTTTGAAAGACTTATTGCACGCAGAGTTGACACCTTCAAACACCAAGTGCGTCACAAGAATCCACTGAACATGACCTCACCAGCGACTCGAGATGGACAAAAATAAGCTTTCATTCACTGGCGTAAATGTCACGCGGTGCAGACAGTCTCTGTACATAAAACCAAATTTTTTTACAACTCAAAAGCCATCATTAACAGTGATTTTGTTACCGCCGACAAGTAAAACTTTTGATATTCCCTTAACCACTAAAAATGCAAACTCATTTTTTCGCATCACACACGTAAAACGTCTCAAGTCGCTTGTGAGTCTTTTAATTTCAAGAAAGTTTACACAATAGACATAAAGTGGAGGTAACATTTGCAACGTTCCTGTAGCATCTTGGCATCTGTTCAAGACAAAAGAAAAAAAAAATACAATGGAACGGTTCGGATGGCGCCCAGAAGCTATTAAAGACCAAAAGGCAGCCATGACCCGAGGGCTTCAGGCTCTGGTTGGGCACCACTATGAGTTACTGATCCTGCCGAAGAGGTCCACGTTGTGTGTGTGTCCACCTGAGACGACACACGAACCTCGATTGTTCTTTTATCTTAAATATTAAAACATACATTCCATGAGTCAAAGAAGACACAAGTTCTCGTCAAAGCTTCTGGCGCCATCACCACCGGTTATCAGGAAGCCTCCAGGTTTGAGCTTCTAAGCCCAACCCATGAAGAACTTAGGACTTCACAGTCTTATGGGTGCTGAACTGTTTTAAGACCCCATCATCGTGAAAACTTTGAAGCACCCAAAGTATTTTATATTTGAGTAGTAGCTAAGGTTCCCAAACAGTACAACGTAAAGATTATAAACTTCAAAAGTTTCCTATACAACTGGGAGCTTTTTAGGTAGCATAGAGATCTGTGAAGTCCTGTACATTATGAAGAACTCTGAAGCCACCTGCAAGAGGAGCTTTCCTAACCTCCTACACGGCAAAGACTTCGGTATCCTCAGACATAACAAGAAACTCCCTAAGCAGCATAGCTCTTGGGGGCCCATAGGCTGCGTCAATATGAAGCAGCCACTGGGCACAGGATAAAATCACAACACTCTTGAACCATATTAATTAAGAGCTCTCTCCGTGAATGCACTACAATGACTTGATCCTTACGTACACCTACAATGCCACGACTAAGATATCTTTTTCACTGACAGTGACTCAGTAAGCCATAAATTGTTAAGACATTGATACAATGTATCATTACATTAGATGAAGCGAATGATGCATTTGCTTTAAATGCACAAATCATACAGATGTACTTTAGAAATTAAGTATGAATGACACAACTGGATTGTACTGATTTTTTTTACAAATCTTGACAATGGTGTAAAAATATGAAATAACTCAGAGGAGCGAATATTGACTTAAACATGTTCTATAAATAAAATAACAAAATTAGTATAACTTAATGGTTAAGACTAAATATACAACCTAACTATAATCTAAAATGAATGACATGAGTGAATGACCAAGATTGGTTCACGGATTCTAATAAGCGTATTTTTATTATTTTTCCAAGAAGAGCTAAATTAACACTTAGTCTACTCCTAACACGGGTCTTACTTTCACTTCTGTCTACCTTATGTATTAAAAAAAAAAAACTACTCAGTTTTACAAAACACTAATTAATGCCGACAAGCTTAGTACACTGATGTCTGAAGCATCGTTTGTGCAAGACTTTCGTATTCTGGAACAGCACTCGAGAATAGTATTTCTTATCAAGAGGATGCATCAGAGCCGCGACCATCCACAACAGAGCCAAGGAATGTATTGGGGCCCCCTGGGAGCGCTACACTAGACCCCCAAGTGCCGTTCCCGAATACTCTCCATAGGGGCGGGTGTAGATAACAGTGTAATATTGCCATAGGATGGAGTGACTGGAATAGTAGTTCACTAGCAACTAACGAAGTGGGTTGACAACACACACTGACTTAACTAACCCCTGTGTTATTATTATTATATTTATTATTATTATTATTATTAACATTATAAATTTTCCCGTACGTAAGCACACCCATAAGTTTCCACACTTAAAAGTACACCATGAGATATTTAGCATAGGCTAGGATGATGATTAAATTGAGAGAGATGTTCGCTAGAGCTGTTCGCTGCAAAGTCAAGCGTCCAGAGGAAGAGGATAAAGATTGATGACTCGCAGCGATGACTCGTCCCTCCGTAATGACTCTGGCTAACACTACCAAGACAACTACACACTACGATGACAATTCAAACACGACGACGACAACTGAAGGAAGAAGGGCTGAGGATTCGCGCGGCCGTGTGTGCGTGTTGGCTGTCCGTCCAGACCTGACAGCTGCAACACCAACACGACTCGACCACGCTGAAGATCACAAGTGACGAAGACGGATTCAGCGGCCAGATGACGGCAAGGTAAACACTGCCGCTATTGGCCGCCGGCATTCACATAAGTCGTCTCGCTGCTATGCTAATGATTCGCGACGACACTGATGATGGCGATGACCACGACGAGGACTGACGATGGCGACGAGGCTCCGTAGGCCAGCACGGCATATCACAGCACAGTGTTGGTTCTGAGAGTGCACGCTGGGGCCGCGGGTAGGGGGCGCTTGGGAAAGGAGAGAGGGCTGAAGGGATGGTAAATGGATTATTAGGTACAAGTCGCCTGAAGATTTCTTAGGCGTGTCTTGTAAGGGCACGAAATGATATCAAGAGGTCCATTGGAAAGGTTTCTTAGAAAGCTCAGGGTTTCGGAGGATTCTGGAGGTCTCTAGTAAAATAATACAAATCAGTTCAAGGAGAGTGCTAAGGGTGAGCTAAGGGTCAGTAGAGCAAGACGTCTCACAGTCTCATGAAGGGTAGAGGTGAGCTAAGGGGACTAAGTCAGTAGAACAAGCCGTCTCTCAGTCTGGTGAGCCGAGTCTTCTGCTCTTAATTAACAAGACTTGTCATGGTGTCCCCGTCAGCGACCTCGTCAGGTGGAATACCCAGGCCCCTATGGTTGCGGCCCCGGTGCTCGGTAAGCGTAGCGCCCTTAATAGGCCAAGTTCCATAAGGGCTGTGGGAGGTAGTGGTGAGCGTGGGCCGCCCCCGGCAGAAGCGAGGCGTGGGCCGCCCCCGGCAGGAGGGAGGAGCTGTGGATGCCGCTACTGCTGCTGGTGGAGGAAGTCATGGAAGATTGCAGCGGCGTGGACTCCTTCCAACTGCCACCACTCAGGTTAAGCGTATCTGTGGAGAAAGAAAGAGCCTGGTTAATGTATGTAAACAGTAAACCAGTAGGCCTAAGCAAAACAATTAAAAAATGTGCATAATTTAACCTAAGCTACTTTCTTGATTGATGTAAAATAACAAATTACGAGGTGAATAGTGATACGGGACCACCAAGGGCGCCTCCCTTATCACGCCTTGAAGGTTTCGAGAGGCTCCAGGGTGGAGCCCCCACCTGGAGGCTCCAGGCGGAGGTAGGGAAGGGGGGTAGGGGAAGGCTAGGAACCACGCAAGCAGTTTGTGGTGGGAACTTTTCCCTGACAGGATGTAGCCAGCTGTCGCGGCACAGACGCCCATGTGGGAAAAGTCACACATCCAAGGCAAACGACTCGACCGATCAACCCACCAGTCAAGTCAACCGTTCCATTCTCCAATCCGCATTTACCCATTGATAGAGTATTATCAACCCAACAGCGTTGATGATGTTCACAAGCTGAGGGAACAAGGGATACTCCCACCACCACTACACGTATACCCAAAACACCAGGTAACAACAGTTTTGCCTTACACGGCCGAACCTAACCCCAGGCCCTATTAATCAATCCCCCCCCCCACCCTCCATCCTTTCCCCACGTTCAAAGTAACAGATCGTCAGTTTATTAGGCCAGACGCACCTCCGCCCCCCCCCCCCACAAACGACCTTAATCCGACGCAGCAGTTTTCGCTACAATCCCCTCTCCTCACCCACCCTACCCTCTACAATCCCCACACTAACCCCCACCCTCCACAATCCTCTCCCCCACACCCACTCCTCCCGACCCCTCAAACCAAACACAGGCGCCACGCGAGGCTACTGTCCCGCCTTCAAGGCAAAAACACATCATCTGGTTCAACCCATTTTCATCTAACGTCAACGCCGGATTTCCTCTGTGAGTTGGTCTACCATATAAATATTCTGGATTGTCTCGTAAACCACGTAAGTCTCCGAGGCACTCAGGTGTGTGCACTCATGGTACGGTGTCACAGGTCCTGTGCAGCTGACCCCCGGTGACCCCGAGGGGGGGGGGGTACAACTGCGACGTGACCTCAGAGGCTCAGAGGTGCTAGTTTTACCTGAGTTTCTAAAGTGTTTAATGTAGTATATATATATATATATATATATATATATATATATATATATATATATATATATATATATATATAATATATAATAACATATTTATATTATGTCATATAGTTGACCACCGTAACGCAATATTGGTTACCACCACACACTAAAACTGCTACAAGACACTCGACGACCGCCACAACTCACCGATGACGACAATACCCTTTACCAGCACGAGCTCACTACAAGGCTTCGCTATCAAGTCACCAGTTGGCCTTCCTACCCTCACGTTCACCTCTGGCGGCAAGCAGATGATTGTGGCCACTGGCTGTGGCTGGCTCTCTGATGGTCAACTCCATCAACTCCTTCAAACTTTTTTTTTCGTGTAGTCTAGGATACATCAAAACTTGTTTTCGTTGACTTGTTCGTTGTTTGGTCGAAGCAGCATATCTACCGCTCTAAAGCCCTTAGTTTAGTGCTAATATTCCAAATACATGAATAACATCGGTGGCCAATAGACCAAATATATTTTTTACCATATCTTCCCATGTGCAAGCTAAAGTTTACAAAGGTAATTTGGTCTCTGCGTGAAACTTGGCTTAACTCTCAGTGCATACATGGAGACGGCCTCGGGAGCTCTGACTCCACAGTTATCTGTAGAGTTACAGTTCCACAGTTCTCTGTAAATCCAGCTTGGTCTATTTAATTTTTTCATTTTTTCATATGTGGGTACAGGAACAGGCGACTTCTGACTCTTCTTAGGAGTCTGGGAGTTTTCCCTTCACATAGCTCATGGTGCGCCTTACCCATTACTTTCCCCTGGAACACGACCCACCAATCAGTTAACATCCTGGTACCAAATTACTGCTGGTTGAACAGAGGCGAACGGTTTAATTATGAAAGGAATGTACGCGGCAGCTTTACGACGGGCGAACATTACAAAACAGTAAGAAATAACGCTGAACTGGTTGGAATGTGCCACAGGAAATAGTCAACTATTGATCCCATTACAGTTAGGCTTCTTGAGGTTATCTTGAGATGATTTCGGGGCTTAGCGTCCCCGCGGCCCGGTCCTCGACCAGGCCTCCTTTTTATTACATCCCCCAGGAAGCAGCCCGTAGCAGCTGTCTAACTCCCAGGTACCTATTTACTGCTAGGTAACAGGGGCATCAGGGTGAAAGAAACATTTTGCCCATTTGTCTCAGCCTCCACCGGGAATCGAACCCAGGGCTTCAGGACTACGAATCCGAAGCGCTGTCAACCCAGCTGTCAGGCGCCCTGGCTAAGGAGATGTAGTCTACAACCATGAGTAATAATCCGGGACACTAAGGCACGACGAGAGGTGACAACAGGAAGACCACAGAACTATTTTTGAAATACAGAAAATACTTATAACAGGTCACAGGCGCGCGGTAATGGCATCTTTATCGTCTTCCTAATGAACGAAATTGGACGCTTGGCCAGGGGCCAGATTCACGAAGCAGTTACGCAAGTACTTACGAACGTGTACATCTTTCTTCAATCATTGACGGCTTTGGTTACATTTATTAAATAATTTACAAGCATGAAAACTTACCAATCAACTATTGTTATTGTTATAAACGGCCACCTGGTGCTTCGGAGCTCATTAACTGTTTAATAATTGTAAACAAAACCGATTTAGATCGAAAAAATTCTCAAAAAGATTGAGAAAAGATGTACAGGTTCGTAAGTGCTTGTGTAACTGCTTCGTGAATCTGGCTCCAGGTTCGTAGGAGCCGCCCAGTCTGTCCGTCTCTTAGAGGACGTCCCACAAGGTGGACAAGTCCTGGAGGTCATTTGGTAATCTTCCTCTGGCGAAGTGACTTAGTGCTTTCTTCTGATAATTATCTTACCTCCTGCAGGAACCTGACTAATTTAGAAAATACCAACAATGTTTCTGACACTTATTTGTTGGAAGAACGTTAACTAGCTCGCCGTAGCCCTCTGATATTCATATTCTCAAATTGTGCTTAATAATTTGCGCCTAACCACTGAACTGGGTTTATTCTGAACTTCCCAGCATACGGGTTATTTCCCAATCTGGGAACCTGTCTCTCCGAGTATCTCCCATGTAACCCGAACCTGCCCGAGTATCTCCCATGTAACCCGGACCTGCCCGAGTATCTCCCATGTAACCCGAACTTGCCCGAGTATCTCCCATGTAACCCGGACCTGCCCGAGTATCTCCCACGTAACCCGAACCTGCCCGAGTATCTCCCATGTAACCCGGACCTGCCCGAGTATCTCCCATGTAACCCGGACCTGCCCGAGTATCTCCCATGTAACCCGGACCTGCCCGAGTATCTCCCATGTAACCCGAACTCCCGGTGTGGCCACTAGGGGTTCAGGAACACACCCGCCAGCTGCTACGTGTTACCCAGCTCCTGAGGTAACTCGCGAAACAGGTAACACCACTTGGGCTGGACGGCAGAGCGACTATCTCGCCTCATGCAGGTCGGCGTTCAATCCCCGACTGTCCAAGTGGTTGGGCACTATTCCTTTTCCCCCGTCCTATCCCAAATCCTTATCCTGATCCCCCTTTCAAGTGCTATATAATTGTAATGGCTTGGCGCTTTCCCGTGATACTTCCCTCCCTCTCTGCTTGTCACTATAATGGTTTTAGTGTTATAGCTACTTCACCAGCCTCGTATAGGCCTATAGTAAGCCTTTCCAAATGCAGTCAAAACTACGTGAGACCATGTTGTAATACAAGCGCACTGCGCCAGGAAGGAGTGAAGTGCATGAAGCAGAAGGGAAACTGAATGAGGGAGGGGAGAAGAGGAATGAGGGAGGGGAGAAGAGGAATGAGGGAGGGGAGAAGAGGAATGAGGGAGGGGAGAAGAGGAATGAGGCAGGAAAGATGAGTAAGGATGGAGAGGATGGGAAAAGGTAAATCGGGGTGGGAAGGGAAGAAGACTAATGCAGGGAATGTGACATGGAAGCAAAGAAAAGAGAGGAAGAGAAAGCTGATATACTCCTCCGGAAGATCAAGATGCCTTCAGCCACGTGACCAACTTTAGTCAAGTCATATATAAAGCCGAAGCAGTTTTATATAAAATTTGATGATTTTTCGTTTCGTTTGGCTTGAGACGGTCTTTCCCAATACCGAGGCCGGCTATATCTAGCGGCGGCTCTTGCAAGATGCACTCAACAAAGGACTTGCCTCATGCTACGTTACAAAGCCCTTCATTGTTGCATCTCGAAGTGCGCAATGAATCGTCACCATCTGCTCGTGCCCCTCTGGGTGTCGGTTATTTTCTGACCCTTGCTCTTATACATGGAAAAAAAAGGTCCTCGCTAGAGCCTCTCAGAGACCTTCAAAAACAAGTTTCACTTGTGTTCCACCCACCAGCGTTTCACTCCATGTGGCGGTGAAGAATGACGCTGCTGCTGCTGGCTGCTTGTCCGCCAAGTATAATAAGCCACCGACGTTCATATCCAGAGCATTATAGATAGAAGCTACAGACAGACAGCCATCCGGTGGTATCACGCCTCGACCCCCTCCCTAGCTACACTAGCACGTCAAAGGGGGAAAAAAACAACAGCAGGGACCCCGCATGATAGCATCAGCTCATATATGGCAACTGTTTACCGAACAGCAACGTGGTCAGTGTGATGTCATTAAGCAACGTGGGCAGAAAGTGACGTCATGGACGGGCCTATCCGCTTACTGGAAACCCAACAGCGTCACTGTCTTCCCCGTGACGTCGAAGACGAGTCATCATGCAAATGAAATCTCGGCACACAGCCCGGGCGAGGTGTGAGGAGAAAAGATGCAGTGACGTCAGTGACCGCTTGGTGACGTCAGGGCCCCGCAGCTAGGTGTTAGCTTCTCACGCTAAAACCTCATAAAAACAGGCGTGGAGAGGCGTGATGTGGTCTTGAACAGGAC